CTTTCGTCAGCTAATAAAATATTTACTTTTATAAGTGATTCGAATAGTCAATATAGTCCATTGCACCGATTTTAAATTTTAATCAATCAGTAGTGGCTGCTAATATATATATTACGTTTATATTAAAAATGTATTACTTTTGAATTTAATATATTATTTTGACTTTACTGATGTTTACATTTGTCCATATTTTCCACGTAAAAAATAAAAGACACAATTGAAATTTTATTTATTTTATTTTAATTAGGAAGGGATATTTCTAAGATCTTGCTAATGACGTGCTAACATTACAACAATGGCCTGCAACTCTTTAAGTTTTTTTTTTTAAAAAAAAAAATTTAGTTGAAGATATTATAAATTTAGTTTGTAATAAATTACACCTTTAGCCTCTAATTAAATAAAATATAAATTTTAGATTTTCAAAATCATAATCTTGATATAACTTTATTTTCAAAAAATCTTAGATAAGAAATAATAAATTTTGATTCTAATTTTAGAACAAGTTTATTAAAGTTTGATTGTGATTATGATATTATTTTTAGGAAAAAAGGACAGATATACTCTCGAACTATTATCCGTCATATTTTTGGTACATTGTTGTTCATGTCGTCCAAAAATTAGAGCATATATGACCTTTATACTAACGGACATACACGTGTCATAATCTTATCAACTGGTCTGATATTTATTGACGGATAAAATTGCGTCACATATCTTTATTTTATCTTCCGTTTGAGTGAATAACATATATGTTCTAGTTTATGAACAGTAAGAACACCAATTCATAAAAGTATGACGAAGAACATCTACATATCCTTTACGATAATTCTAAAACATATTTATCTTTTTTTCCTTATTTTTATTTCACGTGAAATATAATTTATTATAACTAATTCCGACATAATTAATCTCAATATAACTTTATACTTAAACCAAGCTCTCTTAATATATAGTTTAAATAAAGCAACCAAACTCATCTCTCCCAAAGTCATCTCTTCCATTTTCTTCTGCTGCCTGCTTCAACAAGTAAGTAAATTCAATTTTGTGTCTTTTTCTCTTCAATTTCAACTTTCTTCTCTTCCCTGCAATTTCTCTACTTTAATTGAGCTTAGTTTACCTGTTTTTTACCTTCAAAACGAGCTAAATTTCAGCATTTTTGGAGTTTTTTTGTGCTTTTTGATTGATCAATCAGGTTAGTGATTTCTCTTTAGGCGGATCTGAAAAGAAGAAGTTAATGGATTGTTTTGGAGTACATACAGTTATTTGGGATGTAAAAGTTTGAATTTTTGCTCTTTTTTAAAGTAAAACTGGAAGTTTTTCGAACTAGCTGCGAAAATCTAGCTTCGTAACTGTTCAAGCTATGGATCTGGTTTTATGTTTGTTTTAATAAAAGGGGCATTTCTCTTATGGGAATCATATTTTATTTTACTAGTGCTGCAATTTTACTACAAAATTTTGAACTTTTTTCTTTGAAGCTTTGGATTGTTATTGATGTAATTGCTTTCTGTTTGTTTTGTTTGTATGCCGTGTTGAGTTTTGGAAATGGGTGTCTGGAATGTTGGTTTATCTCTCCTTGTTTTCGTTGTAATGTTAGATGTATTGTTAGTAGTGATGAAATGTAGGTTCTGAGCAGTAGGTTCAAAATTATGCTTGTTTGAGAATGTTTTTGGGGCTTGGTATAGAGGAAATAAGTGTATTACTTCTTATTCAATGCGTTTTTTGGGTAGAATTCAGGAGTATAGAGGCGTTTGTGGACGTTTGGCCATGTTTCATTGCAAAATTTGAAAAAAAATTAGTTTTTGTTTTCAAAAGTGAAATATGATATTTAAAATTGGAAACTGGAAGTTCAACTTTGGACAAAGTGAAAAATTTTCATGGCCAAACGCCTTAGGTAACCGTTATGTGTCATATCTGAACCAGCGCTTAATGGAACTAAATTTTGGTAATGAAGTGTTCTTGATATGTTGTTTTGTTATGTAACAGGATTGGCAGGGGAGTTCTTTTTTCTGTGGGTTGACCTGCTTTTCTTTCTGTTGAAACAAAAACACTGGTGTAATGACTTGTTTTGGTCTCTGCTTAGGAGGGAAGGCATCTCCCCGTCACAACCATGTAGTAGAAATTGATGAAGGTTAAAATTTTCAGCGTTTTCTCAACTTTTACTTCTCTTTATGTAAATTGTTGCCAGCTTCTATGATAATATAGCATACTTGAGCATGTTGTCACAATTAGGATTCTTTGTTCTTCTTAAGCATGGACAGACATTGCCTTTTCCATACATGATTTCTCCATAGCGATCCAAGTTGTTGTGGTCTAGTGGTGTGGAGGAGAACCACAAGGTCTCATGTTTAAATTCCAATTGAGGCCAAAAATCACTAGGTGCCACCATCTTCTTATCTGCCTCGTTGGTGGGCAGAGTCATCTGGTACCTGTGTTGGTGGGAGGTAGCAGGTACTCGGTGGAATAATCGAGGTGCAGAGTACCACCTTCATATAAATGATTTAAGTTGTTGCAATTAATCAAGACATGTTAAGGTTTGTCACTATATTTAGAATTGTTGCAGAAATTTCAACCATTGAGAATGCAAGGGTGTACAGCTACCGGGAATTGCGTGCTGCAACCGAAGATTTTTGCCCTGTAAACAAAATAGGGAAAGGAGGGTTTGGTTCTGTCTACAAGGTATTTTATTCTCCACAAAAAGAGTTTTTTGATTTTGCATTTCCATTCAATAAATAAGCTGACTTTATATTCTGTTGTTAGGGGAGGCTAAGAGATGGAAAAATGGCTGCTATTAAGGTACTTTCTGTTGAATCAAAACAAGGTGTAAAGGAGTTTTTGACAGAAATAAAGGTGATCTCAAATATAGAACATGAAAACCTGGTGAAGTTGTATGGTTGTTGTGCGGAAGGGGATCATAGAATATTGGTGTATAACTACCTGGAAAATAATAGTCTTTCCCAAACTCTGCTTGGTGAGTTTAAGTCTGTTGTCATTGTTTTTTTTTTAACTATTCTTTGATTTGTACTTGTGGCAGTGGATGCTGATGTTTGTTTACTCACAGGTGGTGCACATAGTAGCCTCCAGTTTAGCTGGATAACACGAACTAAGATATGCATTGGTGTTGCACGAGGACTTGCATTCCTCCACGAAGAAGTCCAGCCTTATATAGTTCATAGAGACATTAAAGCAAGTAACATACTTCTCGACAAAGACCTTACCCCAAAAATTTCAGATTTTGGTCTTGCTAAGCTTATTCCAGCTGATTTGACCCATGTTAGCACCCGTGTGGCAGGAACACTGTAAGTTTACATATTCTTATGCTTTTCTTTTATCTTCTTAGATAAATTTCTCTAGGTGAATTATAGGTTATGAATTAAAATGTGTAAGCCATTCAGAAACAATTGGGAATGTTTTGGCTAAGAATATCCAAAGAACAAGATGATGACTCATTGGCATTATCTTGTTCCTATTTATAGAGCTCCCATTTTTCCTGATCTAGCAATGTTGTAAAAGAAAATGTAGAAAAGCTATTGATAGTCTTATGCTACGTTCAGCTAAAACTGGAAATAGTATATCATTATCTACTTGTTTTTTATTGTGTATAAATTCTAACGTGCTTATTTATTGTAGAGGTTATTTGGCCCCTGAATATGCAATGAGAGGGCAGTTGACACGGAAAGCAGATGTATACAGTTTTGGGATTCTCCTTTTGGAAATCGTTAGTGGAAGATGCAACACAAACAAGCGGTTACCTATTGAGGAACAATATCTTCTTGAACGGGTATGGAGTTGCTTTTAACATTATTCTGTTTCTGTTGGATCCCGACTACCTGCAGAACAAAAATATCTAAGAAGAACATAATTGTTTCTATACATTAATAAATATGAGGGATCCATGGCTATTGGATTCTCGACTGCTCATAGAACATGATGGGAAGATCAGCAGGGGCTGTTAAATTATTTGGTTAATAGAAATGTGTATTATCCTGACGCTCTCTTTGCATGGTTATGACATTCTTCTTATTAAGATAAATACAGTCCAGTGCCTCTGGGTGATCTAGTTTACAAACTAGCCTGCAAATGTACCCGTTTTGTATAGTTGAGTAGTGCCAGTAATTAAGTTTCGCTTACAAGACAAAATGAAAGAAGCCCATTCTTGTTTGCCCTTCTGCCGACAACATCCTTGTACCTAACCTTCTAAAATGGCAAGTAATGTAGTCGAAGCATCTTATTAGTCCTAAACCCATCTAATCCATTGTTTGTATATCGTTTTTCTCAAGCGGACTTATTAATATAATGTTAAAATCATAATTGCTTGCTCAAAGAACAGAACAAAAAGGAAATAGAAATTTTGACAGTTGCTTGAGCCAACATTTTCCAACCATTGAAAATGGAATACAGATAGAAATTAGTTATAAAGGAAGTTGTATTACATTCGATAAGTTGATATGCAGGCATGGAGACTGTTCAAGAAGGGGGAGCTCATTCAATTGGTAGATGCATTATTGGGAGATGACTTCGATGTTGTTGATGCTTGCAAATTCTTGAAGGTGTCTCTCTTATGCACCCAAGTCATGCCCAAAAGCCGACCATCGATGTCCACTGTGGTGAAATTGCTGACTGGTGAGATGCAAGTGAATGATGAAGAGATATCTGAGCCAGGCATGTTATCCGATCTAGTAAGTCTCAGGAATCAGAAAAATACATCATCAGACACGCTATCTGCTGGCTCGGGTAAACAAGTTGATTCTTCTTCATCTGCGAACACAACAGCGACACATGGAACAATGACTTTTACTACAATAGATGATCGTAAAAGCTGAGTCAAACACATCATGGTAAATCAAATTTCCTCGACTATCTTCCTTATATCTGTTGAATTTATTTCTTTGTAGGATTTTGCTCCATAGCGTGTGGAATTAGGAGCTTTTTCACTTCATTTATATTTTAAGATGTACATATGACCTGGAATACGTATAATTAGATTAGGTATTCATTGAGACTATTTCCTTTTTCTTTCTATTTAAGTAAATGTCGCAATTGTACCATGAGAGTTTTTTTTTGGAAATGCAATCATTTGTAACTTGTAAGCATAAAGCTTCCATGAAACTTCCAGTATTAGTCTATAAGTTCAATACAAATGCCTTGAGCAATTTCTCCTTGCACATCATTTATTATTTTGCCATGCTATTCACTTGGTCACCAGCATCACTTATTTATCTTACAATACTATTCACATGGTCACCAGCAGTACACACTAAACTCTACCTGTGCCTGAAGGCTATGTTGCTCGGATTCTTCAAAAGTGATGCTGCACCTGTGTTGGACTGCACTATTTTGGAGGATCCGACAATAATTTTGAAGAGTCTTAGCATCATAGCCTGAAAGACATAGATGACATTGATAGTGAATGACAAAGAAATGAGTCTCCTTTTGCTGTTGGTTTTCTCCTGTAAAACAAAGTTTGTAGGACCTAATCCTTACAGAATTATAACAGTAGGAAATTTTTATTTCATTTGAACTCTGAACATGAAAAATGAATATTCACCTCAATGACTAATGCATCTTCTTCAGTGTAAACTACATGTACTTGCCCAATCAATTTAATTATCAGAAAAAGAAACAAATGAAAACTGTAGAAATACAAAAGAATGAAAAGCCTAATTTCTGGTTCTGTAACATCTGCACCACAAAATTAGATAACAGAGAACTCTGTAACCCAAGATGAAACTCAGCATCACTGCTAAGTTGGTCCATTTCAGTGATTCTTTGAGGTCTTGCTGTTTCAAGAAGTCAATCGCGAACAATTTGCACTCTCCTCTTTCACTTTCTAAACATCTTTTCCCTCCCTTGCCTCCATACTCATTTATCAAGAAGCACTCGAACGGGTACTTAAACAGACTTAGGTAGTGCATGAAGATCCAGTAACTAGGTATCTTCTCTTTTGAAAGGAAATAGCCTGAGAACAGGAAGAAAGACCCCATCAAGCCAGCTATAATAGATGTTCCCATGATGAAGGTTGGGACAAGTGCGCTGAAACACGCAGTGAAAGAATTTGACATTAAGAGAACTATCCAGACCACCATAGCAAAGTAGAGGAACCCATCCATGCTTCCCCTTAGACCAACGAGCCAGTAAACCGGGACAGTGTAGAGAAGCCCAACCATTAAGAGGAATGGAAGAAAGACGATTGTGTTTGCCACAACATAAGAGGATACTCTGTATGCTCCTCTTGAAGTCTCCCTCATAAAGATTGTTCTCTCTTGTAAGAAAATTGGTAAACCTTCTGTCATGGTGGACAGCAAGAATGTTAGACTGAACGCGAAGAATCCTAGTCTTGTTTGTAAAGCAACCTGCCCTAGATTGTTATCAGCATTCATAAATATTGATCCCAGTATAAAGCCTGCTACCAATGCTTGTATTATTCTGGTTGCAAAGAGTTGCTTGGTTCTGAATATGTTCTTGCAAAATCTTCCTCCTAGTATTGAAATCTCCTCAACGTAGGAATTTGCGTAGGAAGGACACTTATCTACCATATCATTGTGGTTGGAAACTGTAAATCCCTCATCATCTTTCCTTAGACTTTCCTTCTTTTCGCCCTGATCCTTGATATGAAAATGGACATTGGGAGTTTCTGAAGTTTGAATGACAATGCTGCCTGTGACATCAATGGCAAATTCAAGCACATTGATGTGGGGTGGAATCTGGAGACCGGAAAACTTGATCCTCTCTTCGAGATGCTCCAAGGAGCCATTGTGAAGTACACCCCCATTCGAGAGCAAAACAAGTCGATCAAACAGTTCAAGAATCCGAAAACCAGGTTGATGGATAGTCAAGACAATTGTCTTGCCTTGATGAGCTACCATCACTTGAAGAAGTGATATAACATGAAGTGCTGATGCTGAATCCAGCCCAGAAGTTGGCTCATCAATGAGAATGACAGCAGGATCATGTACTAACTCAACTCCAATCGACACCCTTCGCCTTTCACCACCCGAAATTCCCCTGTTTGCTCCTCGCCCAACTCTTGCACCAGCAACCTGTTCCAAACCAAGCTCCTTGATCAACACTCCAACTCTATTTGCAGCCTCTTTTTTTCCACCTTGTAGCCTCAGAAGAGCACTATACATGAGTGTTTCTTCAACTGTGAGCAGAGGAAACAGGGCATCTTCTTGTGTCACATAACCCGATAATCTCCGAAAACACTTGGCATTCACAGGATGACCATTAACTAGTACCTCTCCAGTAACTTTTGTTGGTGATATTTTCCCTGCAAGAATCTCTAGTAGTGTTGTTTTTCCAGCCCCACTAGGACCTGCAATAGCTGTAATCTCTCCTGGCCTTGCTTCACAATTTACATCCTTTATGATGAACTTCTGAGGCCTCTTAGGATTCTTGCAGCAAAAAATCCCACTTACCTCATCATATAAACTAGTAGGTAGTGCGTAGGAAAGATTTCTTGTTTCTATAGTATAAGAACCTTTCTTCTTGCCACCAGAATCCGGTGTCGAGACCGGAAGTTCCATAGTAGAATGAGATGAAAAGAGGGTAGAGAATCAATATCTAGAGAGGGAGGTGAGAAGATGAGCTAACACACCAACCATAATAGTCCCTTTGTGTAATATTTGTATGGGAAGAAAATAAAATTGTTCAAGTGTTAAAAAGGAGCTTTCTTGAACTTCTTGGCTTTCCCAAAAACTTGTTTGTTGTTGTTGTTGATTATTAGAAATAATTTTTTTTTTGGTGAATTTGAAGCTAATGTGTTTGAAGCATAAAGGAGAAAAAAGAGGTTTCTTCTTTGTGATTAGTCTTGCAGGTAAACTGTATTGTTGACCATGCAGCCTCTTTTCTTGATAGCATAACTAGTCTTCTTTCTTCTCTACCTGCCACCTCTATTCTTTCTACTCGTCTCTATTCTACTCGTTCGTCTCATTTTACGTGACATCGTTTAACTTCATACAGTGTGTAAGAAGAAAAAAAAAGACTTTTTTAATGATCATGGTGTCCAGGTCCAGGTGAGTTTTCGTGCATCTCAAATAGTTTCTTTTGAAATTTGTGATAATCGTAAATCATTTCACTAAGATAAAAAGAGAATTTTAAAGTTAAATTATTTTTAATTATAGTAAGATGATATTCTTTTTTAGATGAATTAAAAAAAAGTGTCTTATAAAATGGGGCGAATGGGAATACTATTTTTTTCTTCCTTTTGAATGTTCTTTTTGACACTTGAATCCATTTAATTATTAAATCAAAATATCTGCTCCCTAGTAAGGAAATTGTATTATGCAATGAGCTATATTGTTCAGACTCTTCGCTAATGCGGATCATTAATCAAAATATGTATCGGTTCCTATAGTTTTAAAAAGTTAATCAAAATATGTATCGGTTCCTATAATTTTAAAAAGTTCGAGCGACATTCATTGTGTATCAAGATTAAAATAAAAACTTATATGCACATAACGTGATTAATACATGACTCAAGTAGTTAGTATATTCTTAAAACGAAATTATAGATAATTAATACATATTTTCATTTTATTTTTATAAGTTAACAATGATAAATTAGTATAGTTTGGTGTAACTATGGGCGAAAATTAATTAGTATTAGTTTGGTGTCTCTTCATCCATCAATATTTAAGAAAGACATTAAAAAGAAAGGTAGATTCAAATTATTAAAATAATCATACCATATTCTTGGTACAACTTAATTGAATATTTTGCTAATATGAGTTTACTTTGTTTAGTTAATCTTAATATAATTCAATAATGATTAGTTGTTAGTCATAATATCAAATTTGTCCATAAATATCTTATGATAATTTGTAAGAGAGATGAAGAAAAAAAAAATAATAAAAATGCATTTCTAAATTAGGTCTACGTATTTTCTACACAATAATAACATATCATAAACAGTAAATAAAACATCAAAATCCAAACCAAACTCTCATAGATTGTTCCAAACAAAACAATGACGTGTCCAAGCAAGTCATCCCCCTAATAAACAATTTCTTTTCTTAATTAATCGTCTGTATGGACTAGCTTATACGTATCTCGATTATATCATCAGGTATACGTTATTATGCATTCAACTAACATAAATATCGGATAATTCTGTCAACCAATAAAGGCAACGTTGTAAGTCTACTTATGTGTTCGACAAAGAGGAGTAGTTTTGGCCTAGACCATAAGTCTGTTTTAAAAGATTTACTTAGTATTTATAAGTAAATTTAGTCAGAAAACACATTAAAATTATCATTTCTAGAATTATGAACTTATGATTTCGAAATCATAATGCTGCCTATCCATCAAAACTTCGATAAATATAAAACAATTTTCACTCACGTAAAATTATTTTTTTTTTGTCTCTACTAGGATTTGAAATGATTCTTTTCATCTCATTGACCATGAGAATAAATAATTATTAGATAAAGATGTTGTACTTGTCTTTGAATTTGGAGGAAACTAAGTAATAGTAATGCAAATATTATTCTTCTGCACTTTTTTTAGGTAGAGAGTAGTCATAAAAAAAAAAAAGTCACAATTTGGACCTTTAGGGTTCAATTATATTTTTCAATAGTTAGGTTTTTGACAAGTATAATGGACAAATAGTATCTAGGGTAAGACATAGAAACATATGAGTATCAAAAGTAAACAATCGTACTTAAAGATCTGACTTAATGATCAATAAAATAGTTGAGAATTATCAGATTTTAGGTTTAATTCTCAACATAGACATTAAAATGCCATCAGAAAAATATATCCTAGCCCGATCATCACGATCGTTTAAAAAAGAAAAACTCTATATAGTCCAATAATTAAGGTGAAATGACTTTGGAGATATAAGAAACTAGATTAGTATTTTATTTTGTGTATTACTATAAGAAATATCATTTATTATAATACATTTATATTAGTTGCTGAATAGTTATAACTTATGAGTAACTTTTCAAAAAGTCATATATACTCTTTATACTAACAGATATACATGTATTTTTACATAGTCTTTCGTTAGAGTGAAAGGTATATACGATCTAATTTTTGGATGGGCGCCAGGAGTACTAATATTTCAATAGTACAACGAAAGGTATCTGTAATTTAGACCCGATCTTAAAGTCCGTTATAAATAATGCAAGATCAAGGTTCGATGGTTGTGGCTCGAGGCCTGATGCATCTTAGGGCCATGGTCAAATGTATGCACATAAGTGATTGTGGGCTGGGCCTCAATCATATGGGCTATGGGCTTTGATCTAATATGGGCTTTGCAGATTATAACCTTTGGGCCTCAGAATTTCTAAGGCCCAAAACATTATGGTTTTGATGGTCCATAAAAGTAGTTTTATTCAACTAAAGTGTACTAGCTAGGTAGTTTCCTTTTTTTTTTTAAGTTGGGAAGAAACTTGATTATGAAGATATATATTAATGTTTTTCATTATCATCTTGTTGCTTCGTATTTCCTCTGTCTCAAAATACTTATCACTCTTCGTCTTACAAGATTCAAACATTAATGATAACATATCTAATGTAAACATAAAAGTGAAGTCGGAAGAAGGTAAAATATTTTTCTATATTAAACCTCTACCTTTATGAGGTGGTGAAAATGTTTTTAATAGATAACAATATAATAATTAAAATTTAGATATATGAAAATTATATGAAAAGTATTATGTTCTTCTATAAAAAATACAACCAACAGATTAATGTAGTTTTGATGAAATACGAAGAGTGACAAAAAATTTCAAATAGAGAGAATATTACTTAAATTTTTACACGTAAATTATCAGTACATCCATATTTGACAAATCACATCATCACGTTCATTTGACTTTTAGTAACATGTATAATTTATACTAACAAGCCTTCTTGTGAACATGTGCATCAAGTCAATAAAGGGTGAAAAGGACCAAACATGTCAATTCTGTCACTTTTGAAGGATAGAATTGATAAATTTGGTCACATCAAGGGCTCATTAGTGATTATGGTGAAGTAGAAGAATAATAATAAAAAAAAAAGGAAGTTAGAAAAGCTATTCCAACGAGATATTTGAGTCTGTTTGGCTCAGCTTAAAAGCTGGTCAAACTGACTTAAAAGCTGTTTTTTGACTTATTTAGTTGTTTGACAATACTCAAAATAACTTATTTTAAGTTAAAAAAAACTTATTTTAAGCCAAAAGTTAAAAATTGGGGTAGGAGTGTTTTTTTTTTAACTTATAAGTTGTTTTAAGTTGACAACATTTTTATCTTTCTTGCCCTTAATATTTTTATACAATCTCCAAATAACCCACATAACCCTAACATTTTTTTCTTCCATTTTTTCCTTTTCACGTTTGGCAACGCATAACTGCTTATTTTAAAAATAAGTTTCAGCACTTTCAAAAGTACTTTTTTAAAGCTACTTTTATTAAACCCATCCAAATGGGACAATTTTGACTCTAAGAAAGCATATAGCACCAAAAGTGAGATATTTTTTTTTGTAAGTTTCATTTTTGACGATGCTAGATTTCGAGATAAGTCTGATCTTTAATGCTATTAAAATATAAAAAAGATAATTTTATTTGTTGTTCATAATATTGTTTTCGTATCGTGATACTCATTTTATTATATAAATTATTTTTAACATCATTTATATATTTATATATGTTCGAAATACTTTATTCATACGTTCAATTATTGCCTTAAATAAACATTTGTTTCATTCTTAAGCAAATGAACATTAATGTTGACATGTTTGTAACTCAATAATCTCATGTTTTTGTTTTATTAAAAAAGTTTATCTATATACACAATTGCATTCACACTCATTGATATTGACTAATGACTTCAATTTTTATTTTTATTTTTCTTGGGGTTCACTAATCATTTTGAAGTGTAACTAATTCAAAATTTATTTTGAATTTTTTTTTAAAATATAAAATAAAGTATTCTTTATTAATGTAATTATATATTTTAAATTTGAATTTGAGATTTTAAGTTAAAAATGAATAAATATTTACTAATTTATCAAAAAATTTGTTAGATAGTACTTGAGCATGATGTGGCTTATCCTTCTATAATGTTTGTTGTGCTATTACACATAATATTACTCTTATAGCATATTGTTATTTGAGTTCGGTTATTATTTGAAATTTTCTTACACTAATTATAATTTTATCTTATGATTATTGTTTAAAATAATTTGTAGGGATTATTGCAGATCGTTGCCTTTATTTTTGTTATTTCTTTATCTACTATATTGCTTTGGATTATTTTTTCTTGAGTTCAGATTTTATCGAAAACAACATCTTAAGTTTGAAGGTAGTAATAATGTCTACATATACACGATCTTTTTCAAACTCTATTTTGTGTAATTATATTGTATACGTTATTATTGTTAATGAAGATATATTAATATTTTAAAAATCTTACGAGAAAAATGTTAAATCATATTTTATCTTCTCCAAACATATTACCTATAAATTATCATTCGAAATTATTAAATTTAAGAAAACGTAGCAATGAAATTTTCTAAAAATAATTAATTAGAAGGCGATTTTATAATTATTATCAATACAAAAGAGAATAACACTTTTGCACCAAAATAAAGGTTGAGAATCTGTCAAAAAGTTAATGGCGCATAATATTTGTATAATATCAAATAAAAAGATATAACAATACAATATATTTATTTTTATTTATAAAAAACTTTTTATACTTAATCATTGTTATTTCTATATATAATTAAAAAAAATAGTTATCAACAAAACAAAAAGTGAACTTCCTATAACATTATGGGTGTAGGCCTGTGCCGGTTTATCAAATATAAAAATCAAATCTCTATAATATAGTTATAGTTTATATAATTATACAAATTTTATATTTGTTATAACTATTAATTTCTATATTTCAATATATATACATACATAAATAAAAATTTATATTTATATATTTCGATATACAAACTAAAATATAGTAATTGTATATAAACAAAATTACTCTATATATGCGACATATATGTATACCGAATAGGTATATTCATATATTCGATTTCCCATATATAAATGGGTCTTTGAAATTAAGTTTTATACATCACATAATATATAGAATGGGTCTATTTGAATATTTTGATATATAAATGAGTCATGTAATTGATTTTTATACAACACTGCGTATACCAAATGAGTCTATTCGTATATTTTGATATACAAATGGGATGACAAAAAACATAGAATATTTAGTGTGAATTACAAATGAAAGAAATCATGGCTATAGTATTTAATTTGAGTTAATAGTTTGTTATTTCATACATTTTTTCGTAAATTTTAAATCTTGATGTCAATAAGAAAATGAATTACAAGTATATACCAAACGACCATTTAAATATAAAGTAAAAAATCAATTTATCGTCAATTTCACGAAAAAAACACGCACCAATACAATAAGTTGATTGAGCGGTGCTAAAAAATAAAAATATATCAAATATCTACTTAAAATACAATAGCTATAAATAAAACAAAAAGTGAACTTCCTATTAACATAAGGAAATTGCTTAAAAATTTTCATTTTACTCAATAAGAACACAAAACTCCAACAAAATTTTGAGAAACTTTGTGGAAATTATTAAGAATATATATAGTGAATTTCTTGTACAACTCAAAAACCCTTTTCCTAATTCATCAATTTCAATAGTAAGGATGCAAAATTTTAAAAAATGGTATTTGTGTTTATTAATTTTTCAAAATTCTAAAAAACTTATCATAATTGATTATAATTTAATAATTAATTTTTTTTTATCTATTAACAATATATCTTTTTCTGTACTAATATTTTGTACGACAAGAAAAAATATATATAAATTATTGAACGTGACATAACAACACAAATATTTAAATTACTCTTATTGATTAGCTTCGATTTTTTTTTCTTCAATAAAATCAATTGTTACACAAACTATAAAAATTATTTTAAAAGCGTTTAAAAATAAAATTAAGACTTATTCGAATATGTCAATGAAAGCATCATTTTTTACTTATATAATATTTCGTAATATTTTTAATTACAAATATCAATATTGTAGTAAGTATTACTTTTTAGAAGACTTTCAAAATATTTTTTAAAATTATTTATTTATTTAATAATCTAATTAGTTTAAGCTTAAAATGTTTAGTGAAGCATCTCAAAGCATTGAAGACAATCTTACAAGGTCAGTACTAAAACATGATTGATTCAAATTGAAATAAATTAGACAAATTAAAAAATAAAAAATAATTATGTATTTAATTGTCTACAATGTTTAACTGTATATAATTACATCAATAATAATATTTCAATGTGCATAATTAGTAAGAGATTAGCAACAAACTATTGAGAAAAAATTAATTAATAGTAACAATAAATACATTTTTTTATATTCTACTTAGGTGTCGTTTGATAGAGAGTATTAGGATAAATTAGTTATGTATTACGTATAGTATTATTTATCACTATATTTGATAGGAAATTTTGGCCTATGTATGACTAATCCATGAATTAGTTGTATGCCTTGAAGGTATTTGAGATTGTATAACTGATACTTTTCATTTGGTGATATTAATACTATAAAATTAATTCACGATAAGATAAAAATATGGGAAAATTATATGAAATGGCAAACATTCATAACTAATTATATCAGAGGGTATAGTTTAATTTATTTACATTATATAATTATAGTTTAATTTTTTTTGCTATAATTAATGGGGTCCACAATCTATTATGTAACCAATAATAAAAACCTTATTTTCTAATTTTATATATAATTATACACAAAATAATTTTCTCTCTCCTTTTCACATTCCAACTTTTTCTCCTACATTTAATACTCCAGCTATCTAGTTTGAATTTCAAATTGTTATCCAAAATTAGATTACTCCCTCCCGAAGTTGAAGTTCCCTCCCGAAGTTGAAGTCAATTTCGTAAGTACTCCTTAGTTTTAGTTGTTTACCTCTTCTTTTTTTTACTTATTCAAAATTTGTATATGTGTTCTGTTTATTTTTTTTTTCATATATTTTGATGAAATAATCGATTTTTTGTTCTTGATAGATCTAAAATTGGTCAAACAATGAATGAATCATCTCCATCTTTGAGGATTACCAGAGGTAGTCCTTTGCATGTCAATGTTGTTGACATTTTACCATCCTTTTCAATAGGGTTAACTCAAGATTTTGGGGTTGATGTAGGGTCTTTGGGAAAATCAAAACAAGTTATACAAGAACAAACCATGGAAGAGCTGAGATCAAAGAAAAAAAACGACCCTATGACAGTTCAACAAGTTATTTAAAATGTCAAAGCTAGAGGCATTAAAATTGTACAAGGAAGAAGAAAGAGGAAAGCTGTAAACATTGAATCAGAGGAAAATGATTCTGAAGTTGTCGGATCTGAAGAACTTCATAATCATGAGGTAGTGTATTAAAACACAAAGTTAGATACAATTTTTTGGTTAATTAGTTGTCAATATACAAAAAAATATTGCTTAAGTATTGTATATAGTATATTCCATGTTTAGTAATTGTATATAGTATATTGCATGTTTATGTTATTTTTGTTTTTTGTATATATATACAACAAAGTAATTGGACTTAAATATACAGATGGAAAATTTTCATATACGATTAGAATTTGTATATTCTATTAGTTATATACAAATTATTGAAGTTAGTAAATATTAAGTTTATATACATATACAAAAATTGATATGTACATGTCTGTTTTAATAGCTGGTAGTAGGGGATTGTATATTAAAGGCTCATTATTTTTCTTATATACATATATACACAAAGTAATTGGATTTAGTTATATAGATGGAAAAATATCATATGTGATTATAATTTGTATGTTGTAGTAGTTATACAAATTATTGAAGTTAGTATATATTAACTTTATATATTATTGGAGTGTATATAAAAAGTCATTTAGAAACTTGTATATAATGTCATGTTTAACTAATATATTCATGTACACATATCAATATACAAAAAAAGTAAGTTCATATATATATATATAGAGAAATTAATCTGTGCATGACTTCTTTTTAATTTTTTTTGTATATATATGTAAGTATATATAAAATTATATTTTTGTTTCACTTGCTGTATGATTTTTTTTTTTGAATTTGAACGTTTAGCTTAAAAAAAGGAACGTTTCCCTAAAATTGTGGCATTATCTTAATTTATTGTTAGCATATTTAACGCTTCACTTACAAACCACTTTTTAAAATAAAATTGTATAAATAAAAAAAAACCTTTATATACAAAATTAAAGATACCTAAAATAACTAAACCATACCCATATAATGTAATTAGGTAAACTATACCCATATAATGTTATTTAATCAAAATAAGTTTGCCATATATGAAATTTTCCCTAAAAATATCCCTCAAATCTTTTTGCATATTTTATTTATCATCTTGATTTTATGTTTTATATTTGTACTAATAAATTTATTTAGAAAAAAAAATCTGAAATATATTCAAATTTTGAACAAAATTGTAACAACAATATTGGACTTTGGAAAAGACATTTTACTCACATATACTATTAAATAGTGTATTTTAAAGGGAATATATGTGCCCACATGGACATCATAAATATTGCATAATCATAAATACTAATGTGTCCAAGTGGACACATATATACCTTAAAATACACTATTAAATAGTGTAGGGGGTAAAAGGTCTTCCATAAAATTTAGTATCGTAACAACAATATCGAGCCAAAGTTATAATTTTTTCAGACCTTTTTCCCATTTATTTATATAAATTAGCTTGCAAATTTTGTTATTTAGAGGAAGTTGTTCGTTGATAAATAAATCTAACACAAATCAATACAATATTGAAACGCGAGTTGTTTCACATTTACTAATTGAGAATGTTAATTTATCATTGCATGATATTTATCGTCTTAATTGAACGTCTGTGTGTGTCTGTATATATATATATATATATATATATATATATGATTTTCTAATTATTTGTATTCTGAACAATTTATAAAGTTGTATCCATAATAAAATTACAAGTTGTAATTATTATATATAAGCGTAGATGATTTATTCAATTTTACTATCGTTTACCATCTTTTCGATTTTAAAAGTAGATGCTCTATTTTTATCCGATTAAAACTTGATATTTTGTTTGTGATCAATTTATTTATATGTCAATTATTTACCCTCAAATAATTTAAGTAAAAAATAACAACTGTTAAAATTATTCTCTTAGCTAATTAGAAGATATTAAAAAAAATGATACTCCCTATTAATCAACATTCTATACCTTCGTTCAATTCATAAAAACAAAAATATCATAATATTTAAGAATATAATTAAAATAATTTTTCGTAAAGTTTTAATACCTGTATTATTAATTCTTGCGTTATTAATTTAGATAGATAAAGTATTTTTTTTTTGTTAATACTGTGCTTGTCACCATTAATAATATTTTTTCTCTTTTTATATGTATATGCATCTCCTTCATCTTTTTAGCTCAGTGCTTTTGCTTCAGCGTTTAATCTTTGCCTATTGATCAAATTTATGTCTTCTTTGTGCATCTTCGGTATGTTTTCGTATTTGAGTCAACTGAATTTGGGTTTTTTTTTGTTTTTGGTTCTTTGAGAAGCCCTTATTTTTTTGGGGCCTAAAGCCCTTGTAGAGGATATGGGTAATTTTTTTCTTTTGTTTGTTTGGTTGGAATTGAATTAAAGTTGAGACCTTGTGATAGTTTAGTTCTTGTTTTTTGGGAATTCTCAGATGATAAAGTTGACTGATTTCTACTGTAATTTAGTTCATTAAGCTGCTGATCATTGGTTTTTGATGTGTGATTATGCTTTTTTTTTCCTTGGCTTTGATGTTTTGTTTACATAAGGTATTGTGTTCCTGTAAAGATAGGATCTTTCTACCTTTAGGGTACGGGTAAGGTCTGTGTAGACCGCACTAAAGTGGTTATGCTGTTGTTGTTGAAAAGATTGAATCTTTGTTCATATTGTTCCTATCTTGTTATTTCAAGAGCTTGATCATTACAAATGCTTACACCCCAAACTTGTAATCGATTCGTCCCCTAATAGTGTGTTGTATTTGTTCTTGTTACGTTGATATTGGGCCATCGAATTGCACGATATTAATTCGACTTTTAATGGTGTGATGGACCCCTTTGTGCTTGAAATCTCTATGTACTCTATCTGATACTTTTTTTCTTGGTGTATACTGTAGTTAAGGATATGGGTAATTTTTTTCTTTTGTTTGGTTAGTATAGAAATTAAAGTTGAGACCTTGTGATAGTTTAGTTCTTTTTTTGGGAATTCTCAGATGAGGAAGTTGACTGGCTTATGCTGTAATTTAGTTCGTTAAGGTGATGATCGTTGGTTTTTGATGTGTGATTATGTTTTTTTGTTGGCTTTGATGTTTTGTTTTACATAAGATTTTGTGTTCTTGAAAGGATGGAACCTTTCTACCTCTAAGGTAGGGGTAACGTTTCCATACAGTCTACCCTCTTCAGACTCCACTTTACGGGACTACAGTGATTACTTTTTTGTTGTTGAAAAGATTGAATCTTTGTTCATATTGTCCCTTTGTTGTAATTGTAAGAGCTTGATCATTACAAATGCTTTGCTGTCTGCTTTGCTTCTTAATTTTGTACGACCTAGGTTCTTTTTTTTCCTACTCAAATACCCCAAACTTGTAATCTAATCATCCCTAAATAGTGTGTAGTGTTTGTTCTTATTAGTTTGATATTGGGCCATTGACTTGCATGATATTAATTAAATTTTAGTAGTGTGGTGTACCCCTTTTGTGCTTGAAATCTCTCTGTACTCTATCTGCTAATGGTGTTATAGATTGGTTACTTGTTTAGTGGTTTCTAATTGATAAGTCTGAGAAGTTAACAGCTTTCTATTGTACTTAGATACCAAGGTAGTCGATATTGATTTGTCTTGTGTTGCTAAGAAATTACCCTTAAGGATTTTAAGATGATACCAAAACTTTTAAAATTTTCTGTAACTTTTGCCTTCTGTAGATTTTCGAGGAAGCTGAATTAAGCTGCATTAGGGTTTCTCAATGATGTGCTTGGCTGCCTAGATTTATGTCTCCTGACTTATGTTTCAAAATGCTTAATCATGATGTTTATGCAGATTATTGCTTTTGGCAGGTGACACTGCTATTTTGGATAAAGACATTGCCTAGTCTTTAAATGATCATGAAGTGTTATCAGGATATAGTTTCCTGATTGATTCATAGATTGCACCAATGGAGAAATCCAGAAGCAAAAGTTGGGTTGGGAGCATTTACCACAAGTTTGAGGTTGTGTGTCAGGAGGTCGATGAATTTGTAACTAAGGTATGTAAATGTGATCCTTTTTGGCCATTTACTACTTCCAATACTTTGGTATATCTGCTTCCTCTTTGGTTGTTTTGTTTCCTTGGAATCTATATGTTTATATTGTGTTGGAATGGACAGAACTTTGTAACTATCTTACGAGTAGTTCGGCTTTTATTTGACTTACTTCTTAAATATTAGGACACAGTTAAGTATGTCGAGAATCAGGTGCAAACTGTTGGTGCAAACATGAAAAAGTTTTACTCTGGTGTGGTGCCAGAGTTTCTTATCCCTGTGGACAGTCATGTAAAAAAAGAAGCACAGGCTGTCAATGAGAAGCCAAAGCACGCCAGTGACACTCATACTAGTTCAGTGGCCAACACTACTCAGAACCCTATCCAAGAGAAATCATGTCAGAATCAGAATTCCCTTGAAAGTCATGCTGCTTCAACTTCAACTGAACTTGATGGTGTAGCTTCTGAAGAAGCAGAAATTGATCTTTCTGTAGGAAATGAGTGTGCCACTGCGATTTGTAAGAACTCATGTAATGTTTTTAAAGAGAATATGACAAGGGAGGAAGCACTGGTAGTTGACAAACCAAGTACTTCAGAAGACAGAGTTTCATCTGAATCCTGTTCTGACAAAGATTCGAAAGATACCATGTGCTATAGCTTTTCAGATGATGGTAAGTGTTTTTCTGATGTATCAAGCTCTCAGATTATACGACAAGATGATATGGTCGGGGAGGAACAACCACTTGCTAAGGGATCAAGTTCATTTTTGGATAATTTGTCTACATCACAACTCACGGCCTCTATTAATGAAAAAATGTTTGATACTTCTCCTGATGCTATCAACTGTATTTCTAATGTATCAAGTAGTCAAATGGTTTTGCAACGGAACATCACTAGGGAGGTGGAACCTGTCACTGATCAATCAATTTCCTTTGGAGATATGGCTCTATCAAAGTCATTATCATTTTCAATGGAGGAAAGTGAAGGAAATCCCACCATGACTAAGTTACAACGTCCAACTTCAGTTTATGATACAGAACTTAGGACCAACCCAGAGGATGAGAGCATTTCCAATGCTTCAATAACTCTGACGAATTTGCAAGACAATATCATCAGTGAGGATCGACTTGCATCCAAGGAATCAAGTTTTGTCAAAGATAAAAGTTTGCCACTAACCCCAGCATTTGCATCTGTTATACCTCCTTCACGAAATGATGCAGGATTTGGGGCGTCCATTGCCGCGAGTAAGAGTTTTTTGGGTGATGTTACTTTTGTATCTGAAGAGTCTAGTACAACCTTGGCATTAGAAGATGCTCCAAGCGCACTTCAGTCATCTGAACTTGTACTTTCTCGTGTTATGGAGAACAAAAGTATGGATGTTGACACTGGAATATCAAACTGTTCTCTGTTAAAAGAATCTTCAAGCCTGTCAACTTCCTCAATTGGAAACTGTATGCAGGAAGCCGAGTCTGATTTAAGTATCTTCACTGGCCACTCATCTGCCTTGCCTACTTCCTTAGTGAGTGCAAACAATGTTGTTTCTGCCAATCCAGTTCTCTCAAGTACTCTGTTGACAGATTTCAGTGGTAAGTGGATTCCTCTTTCAACCCTCTGGTCTAGTAGTAAACGATAAACAATGTCCAGTTTTTTGTTCTCTCTGTTTCTACTTTCTTTTTTCTTTCTATTGTATCCATTGCTTCAATAGATTTCTCCTTTTGCAGAAGTAAATGCCTCTAGTTCTCACGAGTTGGTTGGAAATGGTAGGTCCGTTCAAAATGACCTCGAGTGTTGTCCAAGCCCTCAGCTGATATATCCCGCAGAAATAGGTACTATATGGAGGAACTTTGTTTTTTTCTTCTTTCTCTCCTTTGAAATTCGTGTGTTTCTAACAAAGTCACAATCAAACTACGGCAATGTAGCTGAGATGATGATGCATGTATTAAACGATGAGAATAATGAGAAATGAGTGCAAACTCAGTTCTTTGCTGCAATACATGCTTACTACGTAGTAGTTGATTGCCTGTGTGTGCTGCAGGGATGCTATAACATATCATTTTCCCGGAAGGAGAGTTCACAGTTTAATTGTGGGTTTGAAAATTTGAGCTCTATAAGGCAGCATCATATGATCAAAATGAAATTAATCAGTCCCATATTTTCCTTGTTCTCCTCCCCTCCCATATAAAAAAGAAATGAAAAAGGAAATTTGAGGGTGAAGGGATGATACTGACTCGAATGCTTTGTCTACTTCTTTTCAGTATACCGAAATGAATATTGTTGGATCAGCTGTATCTCTGCGAGTATAAGACTTATGGAAGAATAAAAGGGTTGTGGGATTTCACTAGAGGAACCTCTGTGGTTCGTGCTGCTCCTCTTGGACTCTATTTTAACCTATGGCCTTCGACATAACCTATGTTCTTTTTTCTTTATTTTTTGCGTCCGGGTATATTGTTGTTGAAGAATAAAAGGATTGTTCTTTTATAGAATTGACAGAAGATTTCTGGATGATATTCCTTCTTCAGAAAGATCATACCAGTTGATCGCTACTTCATTTAATATTGTATCCTCATCATTTCATAGAACGCATAGTATTTTGAGATTTAATATCAGTATTTGGCCAAGTCTACCTGAATAAGGTTTGATCTGTTTCATGGAGGTATAAATTAGCGAGGATTGATGCGGATCCATTAGAAAAAATTTGGTGGTTTATAGGTTGGGAGTAAATAACGTGGAATTATACATGGTCATGGATACTACTTTCTTCAGATTGGTGGCTTGCTTCTCAAATTTGAGCATCTGTATCTTTGCTTTTCATCTGAGATCTACTTACTGCTTGATGTATTTTTGCAGGATGTATGAATGATAGCTCCATTGATCTTCCGGGCATGGAAACAATTGATCTAACTGATAAGGAATTGCCCAAGGAAAGTTGTGCCTTCATTGACTACAAATTACACCATCTCGTTTCTTCTAGGCCAAGAAAATATAAGTCGTACAAGGTAACGTCTCTATTTATAAGCTTCCCTTCTACTTCAAATCCTGAACTCAATTAACGTTCAACTTTATCTGCTATACTACAGGAATTGATACAGGAGGCATTTGCTCCTCGAAAGAGAAGAATAAAGGAATACGAGCAATTGGCTGTTTTGTATGCAGACGTGGATGCTGAAACGAGCCAGCACGTTGAGCTCTCTCAATTACCTTCTCTTCCTTCACCATGTTTACACTCAACGGAATCGTCCACATGCAACATCTGTGAACCTGAGTGGGAGCTCCTGTAAATGAGCCTTTTTTCCTGTGAAAACAACCCCATGATAATAATTTCTGCTGAGAAGTCTCTCTTTGTAAAGGTTCCGCTATAACGGTTAGCATAATTGAGCTAATCATTAGTCCTACTGTGAGATTAATGGTAGAAACTACATCTTATTTTTCCCTTTCATATAATAAGATAACAATTTTTGATAAATATTTTGATCTCTTTTGTTCACTTGTGACATTGTCTCAGCATTAAGGTTTTGGAGACATGATCAAAGAGCCCAGCTGGTTTTGAGTGTTATTTCTTGATTCTAAGCAATGTACCCAAATTTCTAATGTCAATCTATATGCAGTGGTTGTTTTGTTCTCCTTCTTTGTGTCAGTATACTACTACTACTATTGCTTTTACGTATTCGTGATTCTACAAGTTTTTTACGTATTCTACAAGTAGAGTGTGAGGAAGATTAGAAGTACGCAAGTCTTACCTCTTACCTTTGTAGGGTGGAGAGTCTGTTTCCGATGGACTTTTGATTCGACAGACAAGAAAAAAGATCAAAGCATGGTAGCAAAAGAAAAATATGACAAATGAAGTATGTATGACAACAAAACATAAAGCAAGTGAGAAAAACCAATTTGGTTAGAACTTTGAGAAATCAATGATTATTTATGATCACGTAGAATTTCTTGTTGGATATTTGACAAATTCATACCAGTTATTTCAGATTCATCCTCTGGATATACAAACAATCGTCTTTAATCACTTGCTTGATAATAATTATGTATGATCACGAAGAATTTCTTTCTGAATATTTGATAAATTCATACCATCTATTTCAGATAAGATTCATCCCCCAGACATACGAACAATCGTCTTTAGTCACATGCTTGACAATAATTATGTATGATCACGAAGAATTTCTTTCTTGTTGAATATTCGATAAATTCATACCATCTGTTTCAAACAAGATTCATCCCTTGGACATACGAACAACCGTCTTTAATCACATGCTTGAAAATAATTATGTATGATCACGAAGAATTTCTTGTTGAATATTTGACAAATTCATACCATCTATTTCAAAAAAAAGATTCATCCCCTGAATATATGAACAATCGTCTTTAATCACATGCTTGAAAATAATTATGTATGATCACGAAGAATTTCTTGCTGAATATTTGATAAATTCATACCATCTATTTCAGACAAGATTTATTCCCCATACATACGAACAATCGTCTTTAGTCACATCCTTGAAAATAATTATGTATGATCACGAAGAATTTCTTGTTGAATATTTGACAAATTCATACCATCTATTTCAAAAAAAAAACATTCATCCCCTGAATATATGAACAATCGTCTTTAATCACATGCTTGACAATAATTATGTATGATCACGAAGAATTTCTTGTTGAATATTTGATAAATTCATACTATCTATTTCAGACAAGATTCATCTCCCAGACATACGAACAATCGTATTTAGTCACATTCTTGAAAATAATTATGCATGATCACGAAGAATTTCTTGTTGCATGTTTGATAAATTTATATCATCTGTTTCAGACAAGATTCATCCCTTGGATATACGAACAGTCACATTCTCGAAAATAATTATGTATGATCACGAAGAATTTCTTGTTGAATATTCAACAAATTCATACCATTTGTTTCAAACAAGATTCATCCCCTGGACATACGAACAATCGTCTTTAATCACATGCTTGAAAATAATTATGTATGATCACGAAGAATTTTTTGTTGAATGTTTGACAAATTCATACCATCTAATTCAAACAAGATTCATCCCTGGACATATGAATAATCGTCTTGTTTGAATTCAAGAGTCTACTATTCAATAAAAAAGTTTCAAATTTAATCGAGATCTAATATGATAAAAGAAATACAGATGTCCTCGTTATCACAAATGAAAGTTTTGACAGGCTTTTTTTGTTGCCAATAAATAGTGCCCACACAGTAACACACCACAACTCCTAATTTATTTTCTCCGCCGTAGCTTTTACCTTTTCCTCATTTCTTTTGTATATTCCGAAATGAGGACCTCCATGTTGAAATCCATCGTCCGCCGGAGCTCCACTGCCGGAGCATCCTATGTATCTCGCCGTGGATTCGCATCGGGATCCGCGCCGGAGAGGAAAGTTGCAGTTTTGGGGGCAGCCGGAGGGATTGGACAGCCTTTATCTCTTCTAATGAAGCTTAACCCTTTAGTATCCAGCCTTTCACTCTACGATATCGCCGGTACTCCCGGTGTTGCCGCCGATGTTAGTCACATCAACACCAGATCTGAGGTTGTTTTCTACTCTCTCTCTCCCTTACGTTTTCTACTTGGAATTCTCTGTTTTTGTTCATTTTGTATGAGTATTGGCGAAGATTACTAATGAGGATTTGTATTAACTAAATTGGAACTAAGACGTATCTGGTAGGTTGATTGATTCTGTTAACATGCTTTTTTGATTTCCTGAATCTCGAGCTCCGATCCGATTTACGTTAGTCGATTTCACTAGTGAGTTTGAGTTTGTTGCTTGCTTCATTCCACTATTTAGTCTATTTTTCGAGTGTGTATCACATAAGTACATATAGATTCGTGAATGAGTTACTAAAGTACAAGGTTTTGTGCTGAAAACTAGGTGTTTGTCAGCAATGAAGAGTTCAACACCAGATCATTTTACTCTTTGCATCAGTTGCCTGTTTTAATTTCAAGATGATTTGATTACAATGTTGTTTTAGGCGTCCACTGTCAAGTAGTTAACGATTTGAAGCCCATCTACCTTTTGTGTCCTAAACCCCTCTAAATAGTGTTTGTGCCAGTTTATGGTTTTCTTTCCTGCAATTCTGATCTGTAAATATATTTGTGGACTTTGCAGGTTGCCGGTTTTGCAGGAGAAGAGCAGCTAGGGCAGGCACTGGAAGGAGCTGATGTTGTTATCATTCCTGCTGGTGTGCCCCGAAAGCCTGGTATGACCCGAGATGATCTGTTCAACATTAATGCGGGTATTGTTAAATCTCTATGCACGGCCATTGCTAAGTACTGCCCCAATGTGAGTATGCTTGTGTAATTATCTCTGTATATGGGGGTTATATATAGGAGATTCTAGAAAAAGTTTCTGATTAATTTTCTCATTTGCTGCTTGTTCTGATAACTTAAAGGCTCTGGTCAATATGATAAGCAACCCAGTGAATTCCACTGTCCCTATTGCTGCTGAGGTGTTTAAGAAAGCTGGAACTTATGATGAAAAGAAGCTCTTTGGAGTTACCATGCTTGATGTGGTTAGGGCCAAGACATTTTATGCTGGAAAAGCTAAAGTAAATGTTGCTGGTGCGCGTCTTCTTGTCTAATTCTTTATTTGAATTGATTTTGTTTCGCTTTACATGAAACTGTAAATTCATACAATACTATCTGTCTACTTTACTTACTTTTTGCTTCGTTTTTCAGAGGTCAATCTCCCAGTAGTTGGTGGTCATGCTGGCATAACTATCCTCCCATTATTTTCTCAAGTAATTTTTCTTTTCTTGTCCCTTGTTATAAAGCTTTTTCTTTTTTTAGTATCTATTATTATCTTCTTTATGTTGTAAGTGTTTGATTGAACATTTTTTAGTATGTATTATCTAAATTGTTATTGGTGATTTCCATATTGTGGCATATTGAGTCTTGTTTTTATCACTAAATTTTGGATACAGGCCACTCCAAAGGCAAATCTATCAGATGAGGAAATTGTTGCACTCACAAAGCGAACCCAAGATGGTGGGACAGAAGTTGTAGAGGCCAAGGCTGGAAAGGGTTCAGCCACCCTCTCAATGGCGTACGTTTCCACTTCAATGTTTTTCTTGATTTATTTTTTTTTCCTGAAGGATTTTCACTTTGATTGCAAGATTTTGTTTACGAATAAGTTATGGTGCTGCCCAATGTCACGGTCAAATATTTAGGAATGTAGAGAAACAAACAAAAAAAGAAACTTTTTTGACATATACTGCCCCAAACCACTTCATTTACTGGCCTTTCCTGTTTGCATACTCGGTTCTAAGCAGTTAGTTTTACTTGTGCAGCTATGCTGGGGCTATTTTTGCCGATGCTTGCTTGAAGGGGTTGAATGGAGTTCCCGATGTTGTTGAATGTGCTTTTGTGCAGTCCAATGTCACCGAGCTTCCCTTCTTCGCATCCAAGGTAATAAGCCTTTTCTTTTCCTACAAAGACACTGGACGTCATGTATACTTTTTTCTTTGAACTGTCTGATTCATTTGGTCATTGCCCTCTTATCATGTGGGTATGAAAAGGTCAAAACAAATTATATAGTTCAAGTTTAGGTTTGTTTAAGCATGTCTGAAGCTGTGTCTATTCTGGATGTGTTGAGGGATAGTTTTGACATCATGAGTCATCGATTGATCTTGATTAAGCATGTCTCATGTGGAATGGTTGGTAGCTTTTCAACAGTGCAAGTCGAATGTGTCAAGAACTAAGTTGACATCCTAGGTTATTATTTGTTGTTAGTCACACACGCATCTGAACGTAAATAGCTCGTTAACTTTGAATCATGGGCTAAATTTGTACTTCCTCTTATCAACTGACTTGTGGGTAATTCACTGTATAAGGTCACTATTTTCATTTTGCTTACTTATACATGTCATTCAATTTGATCGCTTTGCAGGTAAGACTTGGGAAAAATGGAGTGGAGGAAGTCCTAGGGTTGGGTCCACTTAACGACTACGAGAAGCAAGGACTTGAGGCTCTTAAGCCAGAGCTGCTCTCCTCCATTGAAAAGGGAATCAAGTTTGCCAAAGAAAACTAAAAAAACAAAATTATGGTCTAGTTTTCTATAGTGACAGTTTTGGATCTTTTTGGGTCAATTGTTTTTGTATCCTTTGCAAGTTTCTTGCAGCCGGAGGCTTAGATTTAGCTCTTTTGATATTATACCCAACATTTCTACAAAATAATGTATGGCAAACTGGGGGCCTATCCCATTTGCCTTAGTGTGGAGGTGTTATTCTCACATGAATCGTTTTCCAATTATGGTTAGTAGCAGACAATTGATGCAAAATGAAGAAATGTTCATGACCAATTACTGCATCGTTTTGCAATTCATTAACCATTTTCTGTCGTTATACTTTTGACTATGACAGGAGAAGCCAAGAGGGTGTTATAAAAAGCTCAAAATAAGCAAATGCGTCAGTTAATAACTTGCCGCATATTATGATGCCAGACAAGAAATTGAGAAAGTATGTACACCCTCCTACTGTTATTTCCATATAAATCCCTGATGGTGATATTACAATGCAATAAATACTCCCAAAGCAAACAAACAATACACATCATCAGCCTATTATGCTCTTTGTACATCCAGGTTACAGCTGC